TCCAATTCCAGAAAAAAATGCCAACATTTCACGAATTGAATGAGATGGAGCAAGTGCGATAAAAATTGAAGCAGCACGAATTCATTCAGTTAAGTGACGATTTCGTCGCTGTCGCCGACGTTGTTGCTTACTATAAGGATCCATCATTAAATGCATCTGTGAATCTCCAACAAGGTCGGTGCTCCTTGTAGTCCCACACCAAATGTCCCACGGGGAATATCAACACTATCACCTGATGATCAGACCTGCAAAGTGTGGTGGAAGGTCACCATCAATAATAAAATGACTGTCGGGATCCCTATCAAAAATTATGTGTCAAAGGATCAATGTAAAACTAAAAGCAAAAGACTCTTGTTGAAACCTTTCAACGGCCACTTTCTTCTGTCCCCAAGGTGGCCGTTGTGGGAAGGTTCATTTGTAATATCTTATTAGGAAATTATTTTTTCGGTGATATTTGAGCACTGACAAGATGATCATAGGGGAATACAATTTTCTTTATAATATCTTTTTTTTTGGCTCGAAAAATACACTGAGTATCGATCACTGGCTCAATACTTTGAGAATCTCTCGGAAGTATTTGACTAAACTTTATATTTTTAAATTTCGAGACCACTTTGTTGACCTGCACCTACAAAAGAATTCAAAATAAAGGTCATATTATTGTATGATAATAAATATCTGATATTTCCGTCTAAGGTAGCCTTCGTAGCTGGCGGTATTGTGTGGGTGCGAGATAAACGTTTTGGCGGCGGCCGCCAAATTTCAGTCGACTGCTACACAATACCGCCAGCTACGCAGGCTACGTCTAAGGAGGAGTTCATGTTTTCAAGTGCACTCTGCGTTTCAAGTGCTTTTACGCTATTTTTTTTATAACAACGACTAGACTTCTACAAACCGAAAATATCACGATCTTAATATCATGAGTAGAACTAAGTGCTGGAGCCGTTCACAGAACTTCAACAATGCATTTTTTATTTGTTAACAGGGGCGGGTCTGGTGGAGGGTGCAGGGGGTGCGCAAATTCTCGTATCATTTTCAATGTACGAACTTAAAGCCTTAGAAATAAACGTAAAGAAGATCATCGCAGTTAAAGACACATGGCTTATGCAGTTGCGTAAAGAAAGTCTAAATTTTTTTCAGGCCATTTTTCATCATGTTTCATGCTCAGAAAAATCATATAGTATTCGAAGAGTCAATTAAAGTCGTTTAAAGAAAGTTTAGCGCAATTTGTCTGTAGACAGACGTTTTTTGTCGGCTTTTATTGACTAGTTCTTATGCTCAATATTCATTATAATAATTATAATTAATGCAACGTATCGTGACTAATTCTGACTAAACGTTCCTTTCATTAAAGTTCTATTAAGTATTCAACCGTCGACATATCTTGATAATGTATATTTCATTTTCTAAAACCCGTTAAAAAATTTGTATGATAATGTATATTTAGCCTTTTCGGGAGAAAATTTATTAAAATTTCATTTTTGTCTGATTTAGTTGATTGGTTAGACGCGTCCTAACTTCCACGTCTGACCGAAAATTTAGGTAGACCCAAGTTACAGTTTTGTCCTTCCTCTTGGTCTTTCTGAAACAGCTTTACTTGTAAAGGCAACTGATTTTGGTTCCGAAACCGACCTTGCAGTCATGGCTACTCACAAAGCGTTACATTCTCTCTAAAAGGCAACTGCCACACTCGTGCAATGGTGCCAAATGCATTACAGACCAAGTATCATTTCGTTAGTACTTTAAAAACCTCTCGGAAGTTATGGATCAAATATATTCAGTATCTTTTTTCAGTTGAAGTATTGAACAATACCAATAGATATTATATTGATATGTTGAAAGAAATGTTCATGTTTTCACGTCCCAGCAACTGGCTTTGGTGCAGCTCTTACCCAATTCTTTCATTCTTTTCTTTTTTTTTTTTATTTTCCTCAATTCTAGAGTAATTGCCTCCGCAGGGATTTCGTCCAGAAGGCGAAATCCCGAGGAGGCACTCTAGTAACTCGCGCGTATATTACGGAAAGTACTTACAGTTGAAATATACAGTCATACAGTCAATATAGAAAAAATCTCAACAGGGGCCGCGAGGAATCGGTAGGTAATGATGACGTTTCTATTGTTTGCGCCCGTAAGTACGAAATAGTTAGGATGACGTAAAGACAGAAAATCCAAGGGACCACTTAGGTAGATTTTGTGACATTTATTGTGCAGTCATACTTCGATACTCTTTTGCGTTACGCAGTGGCACTATTTGAAAGTTATGGACCAAAAGACACTCGCTAAGCGCAGATGAGGTTATAAGGTGCGTTTAACTGTATATATATAAACACTTGGAGAGTTTGCCAGACAGGAGTTCACAACCCGGGGTTCACAAATCTTTGATTTATATTGGAAACCTTACCAGACACTCTTTCTCTCTCTTTGATCGGAATAAGACTCAGCCCCAAACAAGCAAGACGAGTGAACAACGGCTAGCTTCTCACTAGCAGAACGATGCGCGATTACAGAAATTCGCCGACAATCAAATTGACCACTCCAGAAAATACCATAACATACCATAATGCTCTTTGTTTGTCACCCCAAAATTTTGCATAAGCATTGTCTTCAGTTTCTCTTGGGAGTTAAGATGGCCCCAAGAGAAACTGAAAACAATGCTTATGCAAAATTTTGGGGTGATAAACAAAGAGCATTATGGTATGTTATGGTATTTCTGGAGTGGTCAATTCTGCGCTGACCTATTCCCTGCTCACAGATGTCCTTCCGCTATAAAGTTTAAATGAAGACTAGAATGCGCGAGTGTGAGTCCTTTTAATTTTTAAGGCTTCCTTTCCGGCAAATAAAAGGAACTGAATGTAAAAAGTGATAGAAAATAGCGAAAAATTCAACTTCTAATTAACTAAATTAAATCTTATTGTTTAGAATAAACTAGTCTCGAAACTGAGAATGTTTTGATCAAAGCTGTGTAAATCGACTGAAACTGTGCATGGAACCCTGCGTTTCCTGTATTTATCTCACCTATTGTTTGGAATATGTGTGAAAATCTTCCTTATGAATCGGTATATTTCAAAGAGCAGAGTGAGTACTCAACGTGCAAGAATGCTATTGACCGACTAATACAAAGCGGGGGCAGCTGTAGTGTCAACTATTATTAGTTGTAAGAGTTTTAGCTGCGTGTTCAGGATTTGTACTAGGGCAATATCAATTTTAAGCATACTGGCCTTCTTAATGACTGTTGATCCACGAAATAAATTAAGATGGAGTTATTATCGTTGTAAATGGGTGAAAAGTAGATTTTCCAGATGCAACTGAGATGCACGCGGCATAAGTAAAGAAATGCACGAATCATCAACCACAGTCTGTACCGCTACAGGTGTTACTGATAGTCCTGCACAAAGATATCGGCGTCATCTCCTGATGAAGACCAGCAAAACGCGGTCGATACCTTGTAGTCGATGACAAAATGACTGTCGACAAGACAAACATAAACAAGGCCTATCAAAGTCTTGGTATTCTTAAATTGCGAAATTTTAAACACTGAGTCAGGGGTCCTAATAATTGTTAGGTTAGTGCAAAATCGAACCTGCGAATAACAGTACCATCTTTGGACATTTTAATGCCGATTGAGTTTTCCTGTACTCTGTAGTAAAGACCAGTAGAACGACTAGTTTCCACTATTTGAATAAACAACGTTTTCGCAGAGAAAGCATTTAAACCGCAATCTTAGATAAAAGAACATCCCAAGAATTACTCGGTCACTACTTTAAGGATCTCTCGGAAGTTATAGATAAAAGATCTGCGGTATCTTTTTAAATTGTAAGACCACACCGTTGACTTTCACTACGTTTCACTAACAACAACAACAGAAAATAATAAATGAGGAGTTCATGTCAAAACTAGAGTCTGGTGCAATTGTTACAATTAACAACAGATCTAGATCGGGACAGACCAAAGGCTTTTTTGTTAATATCATGATGGAACTTTCAATGCTAAGAAGTGCACAGAACTGGAACATTGATATATTGCTTAATGGCACTGCAAATGAAGATCTCTCTCACTTCAAAAGTTGATAGCCACTTACAGGAATGTTTCCTTAGCACGTAAACAAGAGTTATTGAGACCAGCATCTAACAATAAATTAACTGAATGAAGTGCTTTTTTTCCAGTTTGAAACCATGATCTTATGTCTCGTCCTTGTTGTTCTTCATATAACAGATCCACGAAATCATTTATGCCTCCTATGCTCTTCTAAAATTTTATCATGACCATAATCAATATTTTAGATATTGAAGTAAGCCCCTGTGCAACTTATAACTAAGACGCGCTGATGTCTTTTGTTTTTGTTTTGCCCCACCACGCCCACTATACGGAAATAAAAAGCCGCGAATAGACGAAGACATCGCTCAGTATATCAGTGCCATTCAGGAACACATTTGAAGATAAGTCCGAGTGCCTTTGTGAGTTAAAGTATTGTCATTTGCTCACTCTTTCACTGTTATATTCTAACTACAAAATTGTGTTGAAAGTGATCTGCAATTAACCCATCGCAATGATAGAGATGTGATGGTGAGTTTTGAGCCTGCATGGTGAAAACATAACATTGAGATGTTGTTTCATTCTGTGACACAATTGTCTCCAGTCGAGCCTATGAATTAACTTATGGTTTCTAGTCCAGATGCTCTACCACTGAGCTGCAAGAGAATCGTGGGAGCTAATTAAGACCATTAAGGCCATGAAGTGACACGTGACACTCATGGCGAGCGGACGTGTATTTTTCAGCTCCGTCAATTTGTAATGTTTTTTTTCTCTTTGCATTTCTTCTATTGGATTTTTGTCTTAGCTTAAACATTTCTATTAGCATTTTGTCTTAGTTTAAACATTTACAGGGGAATTATTTTCATGGGGAAACCAAAGAAACATCACTCGTCTGATGCTGCAGCGGACGAATTGAACTTGGAAACCAGGGCGGATAACCTTTATCCGCCCTGTTGGAAACTCTTAAA